ATCTAAAACCAGGAATGTCCTGAGACCTTTTGGGAAACATACTTGCAGATGCATCACAGCAGGAGTTTCAGGCATGTCCTTCGTTGTCCATGCCCGCTGGGTTTGGGATAAGGCTATTTTTATGGTGTGGAATGTGATCTTGACTTTGATACTTTTATAGTTGGAGGTAAAGGCTGCTTGTTGGTAATTAGGCAGCCCTAGCAGTTATGCAGTGCTTAGTTCAGAGTCATCACATATAAATTAAAAGTAGGAATTACAAATTTATAGGCTCACTGTGCATAAAAAAAATCTCTAAAAGTCATGCGATTCCTTTCCCTGCTTCCAAAAGAGTTCATGGATTATCTAATAAAAATGATCCACGAGTATCTAGTCTATTTTTAAAGACTTTGGGCAAAGGAGATTACATGAGCTCTTGTCTTACCCTTTTTAGGGTCTAGCAGTTCTTGCAGCTGTTAGGAGTTTTTCCTTGTATCTAATTTAAGTCTCTCCTCTTACAGCAGGGAACATAGTTGCTAAAGTAGAAAGGCTGTTAAATACCCTTTGAGTAATGGGTAACTGTCTTCTCATTTTATAGGGAGCTTTTTCTGTTATGTCCATTGGGATATGACGCTTCTGCTTGAATGAGCTATGGACAAGAAGGTCTTTACTACCCTGCCTTGACTCTAAAAAACTGGGCAGTCCTTATTAGTTGTGACTGAGAAGCCTTAAAAAAAAAAATCCCAGCTTCAAACTCCTTTGAATGTTATGTTCCTCAAAAAAGGTGGTTGGCAGAATTATGATTTGAGACATTTCAAGGAAGATGTTAAGGCCCAACTGGGTAGACTGTTGTGAGCTGTTAGAACAAGTGAGCTGGTTCCTCTGTAGACATCTATGGAAGTGGAGAAAGAGGTCTCTATTCTTACCCCGGGCTCAGGAATCTTATCCTGTGATGGTGTGGCTTTCTAGTTAATCATTACTTCTTGCTTAGAGTAAGGAACACCCACATCTGCAGTTTCTGGGCGAGGACAGCCTTAGCTCTTTTGAATTACATCCTTTATTTAAGTGCTGTACTTCTAGGCCTCCCCGACGTACCGGGAAACACACTCCTCGGAGCCTGTTACACTGCTTTGGGTGACCAGACTCTCATTTTCCAGCAGTGTGCTGAGCCAGTTCCAGTCTCCTAGAACTACCACTGGTGACGTTTAGGAGAGCTTTCCTATTAATCTTAGTGTTCAAGGCCTTTACATTCTGAGAACCCAACTCCTGGCCTTTTAGAGATATTGATCACCTCGTTTTGTTAACTGGGAAGCATTAAAATACCGACGGAGAGACTAAGTCAGCCCTCAGAAGAAGAAGCTGTTCAATAGAAAAAGCTGTTGGAAATAACACCTTAAGGGCTAAATTTAAAAAAAAATCCTGGGTTCTGACCTGTGAATCAGACCTGCCAAAACAAACATTCCTGGCTGTCAACCTGTGTTAACAAAATACCCTTCATCCTCAGTGGCTCAAGTGGAGAGGGGCGGGTGGGTTTGGGTGGTGAGGAGAGGTGTATGTGACAGAGAACAGAACTACATGGCATGTTGGGAAGAGGAACCTTGTGCCACGTACCCTCCACCCCCAAAGTTCTTTTTGAGAAGCTTCCTTGGACGTTCAGCCTCTGTAACCTCAGCTATTAGGAACTAACACTTGAAGGAGTAGGTTCTCTCCTTTTTGAGAGAGATTTTTTCTTAAAGAATTATCTTATTTAACTTTATTTATTCATTCATTCATTTTAATTTGACCCGAGAAGGACAGATTGGGGGGTGGGGTAGGGAGTGAGAAAGCAAGCCACCAGGTCCAGGACTCGAATCTCAGTCTGCCATGTGGGAGTTCAGTGTCCCTAACCACCACACCACCTGCCAGCCCCAAGGGAGATTTTTCCTATAGGTGCATGTGCTCGCCAGAGAGACAGACAGAAAGCGAGAAATCACCCCCTGGGGGAGATTGACCATGCCACAAGTCCTTCTCCTCCATTCTCCTCTCAGGATTTTGAGCATACACACACATACCAGGTGTGAGTTTTAAGCCACTGGGTCAGGGACTCAGACTGCAGTTGACACATGGCCAGCAACATAACCATTACACCATCTGCTGGTCCCAGGGGTAGATTCTCTTAGAGATAGATGATACAGCCAGTCCTGAACAATGAGGTTTGAACTGCATGGATCCACTTATGTGCAGATTTTTTCCAATCAGATCCTTCAAAAAGTTTGTGGGAAAATGGGATTAAAACATGAGTTTATATTAGCACCTCCCCAGTGAATCCATTTGTAGTTTTTCTATGTATTTTCTGAAGACCTCTCATGTATTAGAAAATACAGTACTGTAAGTGTATTTTCCTTACGATTTTCTGAATACTATTATCTCCAACCCTATTATAAGAATATAGTGTTTAATGTATATTAATTGACTTTATGTTATTAGTAAGGCTTCTGGTCAGTAGTAGACTGTTTGTTGTTAAGTTTCTGGGAAGCGAAAAGTTATACTTAGATTTTTCAGCTGTGTGAGGGGTTGGCACCTCACCTCGTGTTATTGAAGGGCCTGCTCTACTTCAGGCCATCTAGGTGTGGAAAGCCATCTAGGAAGGAGTTGGGGCTAACATTGGGGCCTTTGTCTGCAGTCAGCTTTCCATGCAGTTCTTACATTTCCCAGTACTTGCTTTTCCCATGTCTGGGCTTACAACAAGCCACTAACCTTGCTCTCTAAGGCAGAAACGAGTGTACAAGTCTGTGAAGATAGCTGGTGTGGGGTCCATCTGATAAGGAAGATTCCTTGTTTAAGGTTGTATTGTAAGTCAGTGGCAGAACCAGAATTAGATGGCTTTTCCACTGTTGATACCATGTTTCTGCCCTAAAGAACCCTTGACCCTGAACAGGGCAAAGAAGTGGTAGAATTTTAAATTGACTGGTGTTCACCCTGGGGAACATTAGATGTTGAGCTTTTTGAGAGCCATGGACCTCTCGCCACCCTCACTTGCTCTTCGCTTCCTTTGCACGCAGCTTCAGCTTTGGGCAGGGTGCTTCTATAACATGCTTGCTCCATGACTCTCTCAGGTGAAACAGTGTCGCTTGTGGACGTGGACATTTCTCAGCGGGGCCTGACCTCTCCACACCCTCCAACTCCCCCTCCTCCTCCAAGAAGAAGCCTCAGCCTCCTAGGTATAGTCTCCTCCCCTCTGGGCCTTCTTGCCTTAGTGGGAGGGGCAGTTTGAGGGACTTATTCTTTGCCAGGAGCCAGACAAGCTTCTGGGTTTTTAATGATTCAATTATTTTTGTCCTTTTCTCAGCACCCTATAATCTCCCTAAGCAGTTAATGGGTCTCTTAGATGCATGCTATAATATTTATTGTCCATATGTTAGATTTATATTTTCTTGCCCTGAGTCTACTGCTTTTTGGCTGCTTTAGGAGTACCCTTGCTCTCCTGCTATCCCAGCAGAGCAAACCAGATTAAGATGACTGTTGCCCTCTGTGCAATGACAGCCTGCAGGCCAGGCCGTCTTGCCCCAGGGGGCGGCTGAAAGTCCTTGCCCTCTCCTCTGCCTTCACCTTGCTCACTCTGTGCTCATATCTCTGAACCTCTTGCTTTTGTTCTCTCTTCTAGATGATATCAGTGGGACGCTGCCTACATCTGTCCTTGTGGCTCCGATGGGGTCTTCCTTGCAGTCTTTCCCCCTACCTCCGCCTCCTCCGCCCCATGCCCCAGGTTAGCTTAGTTTAGAGGCAAGACTTGTAAGAGTTGGGAGTACAAAGTGATACTTTGTACTTTTGAAGGACGGGAGAAATCTATGTATGGAAATAATAACTTATGAGAAAGCTTAAATTTCCCCTTGGCTGGATCAGAACTCTTTGGAAATGAGGCCAAGAACTGGTTTTTCTAATTCGTTTCCTTTATGGAGGTGATATTTGTTAGGGATAAAAGACTATTAAATTTTTCATCTCTTTGCTGCTCAGACTGTTTTGCAATCCTTGAATACATTTCACTTAAGAAACTGCCTTAATTTCAGGCTAGCAGGGAGGTTTAATATCTTGCTTATATTCAAAGTTCTGTGGTTTTTCTAAACTGTTAGAATCTGCTGCAGCCTTGTAAATAAGTACCAAGCATTTAGTAGCCCGTGCCTGCTTTGCCAGCCTCCAGTACCCAAGGAATAAAATGAATGAAATCGGCATTGTTTTCTACTTGCCTGGCAAAATGGTTACTCTTCCTGGGCAAGTAAGCGAGTCACTATTTCCAAGGCTGCTTTACCGGCACTTCACTTCGAGGTGGGAGAAGTTGGAATCGCTCTAGGCTGGTGAAGCCCCTGAAGTAGTCACCTTAGTCAGGTTAGTGAGCGGCTCCCCTACCCCTTTCCTGGGGTTAAATGCCCCCACCCATCCTTCACAGCTTACACGAGCTCACGCAGCTTTTTGTTCCAGCCCATCCAGCTCCTTCCCACTGCTTTGGCTTCCACCCTTTCCAGCTGAGCTTCTAATGCCTTGCCCCTCTTCAGTTAGCATCTCTGTTTTGGGGGAGGGTCTACTTGTGGTTGGAAGCACTGAGGGTAAACTAGTGAGTACCCCGGTCTTGTCCTGCAGATGCATTTCCCCGGATTGCTCCCATCCGAGCAGCTGAATCCCTGCACAGCCAGCCTCCCCAGCACCTCCAGTGTCCCCTCTACCGGCCTGACTCGAGCAGCTTTGCAGCCAGCCTTCGAGAGCTGGAGAAGGTAGGTGGGACCTGAGGACGTGGGCTCACCTCTTTTCCTACCTGCCCTATTCTGTACCCAGGTTCTCATACTGTTTTCAGAAGAAAAATCCTTACTTCCATATTTATATGACAAAACAGGATGTTGTTGTTAGTAATTCCATAAGGCATGTAACAAAATTGAATCGAGAAAAAAGTTTGAACGTGGTAAAGATTGTGAGAAACATTTGCATAGTCTAAGCTGATTTTGATAGATTCACTTACCTGGTTCCCTCTTCTTCATAGGTCCTTGGTAGCACATGCTCATTACTAATGGTTGAGACACTCACAGTGGCTTTTACCTATTGAGATAGTTTGGAAAGTAAAGGGTTTCTTCCCTGGTAAGAATGATTGTGCTAGAAACTGACATTTCTCTGTTAACCACTTGACTGCTTCTTGTCTTTGATAGTGTGGTTGGTATTGGGGGCCAATGAATTGGGAAGATGCAGAGATGAAGCTGAAAGGGAAGCCAGATGGTTCTTTCCTGGTACGAGACAGTTCTGATCCTCGTTATATCCTGAGCCTCAGTTTCCGATCACAGGGTATCACCCACCACACTAGAATGGAGCACTACCGAGGTAAGAGGTGCTGGTGCTTTAACAGACCCTTCTGCCCCCAGTGCCCACTTCTCTGCCTTTTCTATCTGACTGTTCCATGGGAAAGATGGAACAGGGATGGAACTATGAATAGGCGAAAACATCTCAAGTTGTAGTTAGGGGGTTGTTGGTATGGGCACTGGTTTCGGGCACTGGAAGAGATGTTGGAGAGGTAGAGAAGGAGAGGAAGGGGAGGAGGGCCCATTTGAGAGTCTTCTCAGCATCTTGTCTCTTGATAGAAGACCCTGACAAGACTGTGGAAGAAGCTTCCAAGAACAAGCCAATAAAACTCTTCTGGTGGAAGGAAGAAACAACCTAGGGCCATTAGACAAATTCTCCCAAACTTTGTTCATAATTAAACTTACAGTGTAGGAATTCTTTCTGCTAAATCATGTACACAAAGATATATACCCAAAGAGGACAGTTCAGTGTGGGTCTTGTGACTGGGTCTGACTTTCTGTGCCTGGTAGTTCCTCTGGTTAGGCAGCATGGTGATGAGTTTCCTCTTTGGGTCAGGTTTGTAGTCTGTTAGGAAATGTTCGTTGGAACACTGAGAGTGTGGGAGCGATGTGTGTTAGACTGTCATCTTCTGGCTGGCTGTCTCTCTTCCTTTGTGGTCAGGTGGTACTTCCTGTTCCAGTCCTGCCGAGAAGCTGACTTGTTACGGTCAGCTCTCGAGACTGACCTTGCATAGGGCCTTTCTTTATTTCACATGGGCCAGAAACTTGTGATGGTCTTCAGTGGTAGGGCCAGGGGATGCATCCTTTGTCAGAATACCTGCTTATACTGCAAATAAAAGAAGTGTAGAGAGGTTCAGTTCCTTGGCCTGGTTAAGGCAACTGGATCCCATGTGGTTTTCTGCATGATTCAAGTCTCGGACCCAGCCACTTAAGAAACAACCTGGCCGTGTGTGTGTGTGTGTGTGTGTGTGTGTGGGGGGGTGCTCAAAATCCTGAAAGGACGGACAGAAGAGAAAGGATTGTAGTGCAACCATGCTTCCTGTGGGGAGGGAGTGACTCTGCTCCCCCTCACCCCTGTCTCTCTCTGGTGCAGATGCCCTCTAACATTAAAATAAATATATATATAGGGCTGGCAGGTGGTGTGGTGGTTGAGGCACTGGATTCCCATGTGGCCGAGGACCGTGGTTCCCGGACCTGACGACTTGCTTTTTCACTTTCCCTTTCTCTCTGGTCAGATAAAATAATAACAACAATAACAACAACAACAACAAATGGAATTAAATAAACAATTCTTTAAAAAAAATTTTTTTAGATAAAGTGTGGAGGACTTGAGGGACTTTCAGGGACTTGCCCCTCCCATCCCTCACAGCCTTTCCACATGTTCAACCTGAAACAAGTTCTGTGAAATGTCACTTCTCAAGGAAAAGCCTCCATCATGCTCTTCACAGGGACCACAGTGCTTTTCCCACTCTCCTCATGTTCTGTTGTTTTTATTTGGGACTGTTTCTCTTGTGAGGCAGGAGGCAGCTGTTTAGGTCAGCATAGCTGGCTTTGTCTGTGGGTTCTTCTGCCCCTACCTCTCTCTGCCTTAGAAGAGAAAGAAACTTCAGCCCAAATACCTGAGAAAGAATTAGATCACTGTGGGAGAACAGACTGCAGCCTATTTTCTTTCTGTTCCTAAAAACAAATATCAGGGGCCAGCAGGTGGCATGGTGATTAAGGCTGCTGCAATCCCACGTGGCTGACCATGGTTCGACTCCTGGACCTGGCAACTTGCTTTCTCACTTTCCTTCTCTCTCTTTGTCTCTCTCTGGTCAAATTCAAAATAAAGTAAAATAAAAATAAGTGAATAAAATTTAAAAACAAAAACAAAAATCAAACAGAAAAACAAAATGCAAAGCAAAGCATTTCAGCTAAAGTTATTCTGTTAAACCTATTAAAATGACAAAGGGCTAGGCCATGGCAATGATAAGAACTGCTTCAACTGTGGTTTCCTGATAGGGGAGCTGCCAGGAATGAAAGTTCTTTCAAATGCATCTCCAATTACTTTCTGTTCAAAGGGACTTTCTTTCCTGCATAAATGGAGTTTTTACTAGAAGCTATGTGGACTTCTGGTTGTCAGCTTACAACAGAACATTTGTCTTTATCTTTTTAAGTGGTACTGTAAGAGTAGCTGGAGAGACTCAAATATGCAGTTGTCTTGACAGAGGCTCTTGAGTGATTAATATCTCTTTTTTGTGTGCTTTTTGTGGGTGATTCCTATGGGTGTTTTTAATTTATTTTTATGTTTTGGGAGTGCAGATTCCCTTTTGCTTTTGAGAGTCTGTGAAGTTTGAGTTTGAGATGGGGTCTTTATAACATGTTGGGCATGGAATTTTATTTCATATATTCATTTATATGCCAGTGGGTGCATTTACTTGCCAGAGGAGAGAGAGAGGACCTCTTCATGGGGCACGATCATGTTGCAATCTCATTTTCTGATTTCGAAGTTAAAGAAGGAAAGACTTGGCTTTTGATTTTCTGGGCCTAACAAGCACATAAATGATGAGACTGCCACAAAACTGCCATTCCTGTCTTTCTTCAAGTGCTCCATGAATACTGGATTTAGATCCTCTTGAGGGAGATGCTATTTGAACTTGGTTTCATTTTAGTGGTCTTTTTTTAGGGTCTTTGTAGAAAAGGAAGTCTGTGATTTTAGGATTAATGTTCACAGTTGACAAAATCTTTTTATGTTCTTTTTCCAACTTGACTTTATTATTTACTTCTTAAACAAAAACCTTGTATAACCTAATTTATGTGTTTTTTTTTAACCTAATTTATATAAAGACAACATCCTTCTTCCCACTGTTGTGAGATAAATAGGAATAAGTAGGTTTCAGAGACATTTGGATCAGTTTGTCCATAAACTGCCCTCCCTGGAGTGAGAATCATTGTTAAAATGTTCAAACTACCCTCAGATCTTCCTCTAAAGTAAGTCTTGAAATTTTTACTTCTCCTTAATTTTTCATGGCAGGAACCTTCAGCCTGTGGTGTCATCCCAAATTTGAGGATCGTTGTCAGTCTGTGGTAGAGTTCATTAAGAGAGCCATCATGCACTCCAAGAATGGGAAGTTCCTCTATTTCTTGAGGTCCAGGGTTCCAGGTAAGGCTGTTGTCTTACTTAACCTGGGTATGGTCCAGTGTAGTATCACAATGCCCCCCCCCCCAACAAAAAGGCCCTCCTTACGGG